AGTTGAAAAATAAGAACATATATGTGTAAAAAGTCTTGGTTTAAACTTAGTAGAGTTTGATTATAGTGCGTGTGATGTAGTTTGTTTTCAGATTTGCCTATTATGTTTTTTTCTTGATGACTTATCTATTATGCAGTGCATATGATATTTACCGTGAGTTCGTAATGGTCGTATCCTGCCCTAGAGACCATTGATCCAGGATGGGCTGACTTAGACGAGTCGTTCAATTCGCACATTTCTGTTCCATTGATATATTTATAAATATTAACAGAACGACATCCAAACAGATTTGCACATGCCATCGAACAATCTATTCGATTAGCTGTGATGGTCTTCATCAAGTGTCCATTTAGAAACTCGCCCGGATGTTTTAAGAAGTTTCCAAGTGGCATTAGTTGTGAGGAAACTATAGTCAATGGTAGCGAGGCCAAAATGACCAAACGTCCACCAAGGATATCCATTGCCTATTAAGAATTTAATCGTTTAAATGATTTTCAATCTTTTCTTCACCGGCCATAAAGTCGATTGATAGAAGATAAGAATTTATAACAGCGTCTCCAATAAACTTTTCAAGGAGAAGGTGAATTGGGTCTAACATAATATTTTTCAAAACTGCGCGTTTTTTATGGATAGTAATACCATATGAAATAATTCAATAATCAACTCAAATAATAAACATATACTATGGGAGATTTCCCAGTGAAGTTCGACCTCGGTATATATTACCCATTTGGTCAGGCATTTTTTCAGGTGTTCCGCAAAATAGGTGTTCAAAACGTTGATGTGGTTCCTAKTACCGCATCAACGTTTTGAAATAGATAATGAAATAGGTCCTCTAGAACCAGGATAAAAAATAGCTATRCATTTTCAACAAATCGACGTGATTAAACTCGTACTCATCATCAAATATCGACATCATAATAATAGATAAAGTCACGCCTAGAGACGTTTTGAAATTGGCCGCAAGTTTAAAGAATTCTGACTCTATTAGTTCTTCATTATGTACGTTATATACACTACCTTTATAATTGACCTTATCCTTGTAGACGTAAAAAAAGTACTTTTAAAAATCCGCGTAGTTTTCAATTTCTCTGGCAGAATGGTTCCTTCAACAGACTCAAAGACGTGCAAAACAAATGTTGAGACAAGCTGTGYMAGGGTATAATCACGAATTAGTAAATAGGTGCCTRAGGGCGTTTTTCAGGTGATAACTTCACGTAGGGCAATACAGATTCATTTGTAATTGCGATGTTTGTAAGGTTCATCAAAAGTCCACGTATAGTTGCTTTCAACTTCTCTGACAAAAAGGGCGTCTTTCAAGGACTCAAATTAAAGATATGAAAACAAGTGTTGAGACAAG